GTCACCATAGCTCCCTGAGTATGTCATCATAGCGTCCATGAGTATGTCACCATAGCGTCCATGAGTATGTCACCATAGCGCCCATGAGTATGTCACCATAGCGCCCATGAGTATGTCCCCATAGCATCCATGAGTATGTCACCATAGCGTCCATGAGTATGTCACCATAGCACCCATGAGTATGTCACCATAGCGCCCATGAGTATGTCACCATAGCACCCATGAGTATGTCATCATAGCATCCATGAGTATGTCACCATAGCACCCATGAGTATGTCACCATAGCGTCCATGAGTATGTCACCATAGCGCCCATGAGTATGTCACCATAGCATCCATGAGTATGTCATCATAGCGTCCATGAGTATGTCACCATAGCGTCCATGAGTATGTCACCATAGCGCCCATGAGTATGTCATCATAGTGCCCATGAGTATGTCACCATAGCATCCCTGAGTATGTCACCATAGCACCCATGAGTATGTCATCATAGCATCCATGAGTATGTCACCATAGCGCCCATGAGTATGTCATCATAGCGCCCATGAGTATGTCATCATAGCGCCCATGAGTATGTCACCATAGCGCCCATGAGTATGTCACCATAGCGCCCATGAGTATGTCACCATAGCATCCATGAGTATGTCCCCATAGCGTCCATGAGTATGTCACCATAGCGTCCATGAGTATGTCACCATAGCATCCATGAGTATGTCCCCATAGCATCCATGAGTATGTCATCATAGCGTCCATGAGTATGTCATCATAGCGTCCATGAGTATGTCATCATAGCGTCCATGAGTATGTCACCATAGCATCCATGAGTATGTCACCATAGCATCCATGAGTATGTCCCCATAGCATCCATGAGTATGTCATCATAGCGTCCATGAGTATGTCACCATAGCGCCCATGAGTATGTCATCATAGCGCCCATGAGTATGTCATCATAGCGCCCATGAGTATGTCACCATAGCGCCCATGAGTATGTCACCATAGCGCCCATGAGTATGTCACCATAGCATCCATGAGTATGTCCCCATAGCGTCCATGAGTATGTCACCATAGCGTCCATGAGTATGTCACCATAGCATCCATGAGTATGTCCCCATAGCATCCATGAGTATGTCATCATAGCGTCCATGAGTATGTCATCATAGCGTCCATGAGTATGTCATCATAGCGTCCATGAGTATGTCACCATAGCATCCATGAGTATGTCACCATAGCATCCATGAGTATGTCCCCATAGCGCCCATGAGTATGTCCCCATAGCGCCCATGAGTATGTCATCATAGCTCCCTGAGTATGTCACCATAGCATCCATGAGTATGTCACCATAGCGCCCATGAGTATGTCACCATAGTCACCATAGCGCCCATGAGTATGTCATCATAGCGCCCATGGGTATGTCACCATAGCACCATGAGTATGTCATCATAGCGCCCATGAGTATGTCATCATAGCGCCCATGAGTATGTCATCATAGCGCCCATGAGTATGTCACCATAGCGCCCATAGTCTTGGTCGGTCGGCTTGAAGTCTCTGCTCCGGGTAAGTTTTTAGTGTCTGTCATGGGAAGTCACTTCTCCCGATCATGAGGACTGCTTGAGTATCCTCGAAATGCACTGAGTAGACACCATAGAATCATTTGGGCCCAGCCCTGGTTTCCACTCTGCTGCACTTTCTTTAGTCATAGGCCAGCCGTACCTACTGTGGGACTGTTTCTCCCGGCTGTAAAAGTCAGGAAGTGATAGCTCAGTGGGGCATCCCAGAGTTGCCGTACAAACCTGGGATCTGGGGAAAGCACTTGTTCTTTCCTCCTGGTTTGTGAGTTCTCAGTGCAAAGTCGTGATTTAAAGAAACAAGCCAACGTGGAGGGAAAGGATTCCTCTATAAGCACTTTGCTGTTGGCTTAAGCCTGCCACCCGGCAGCCACAATATCAGGTCCCCTTCCCCCCCCTTCAGCTCCTCCAAGGTGAAATTTTAGTTTTGGAGTTACGCCTCCATCTTAGCCATCGCATACAGGGCTAACATCAGTTTTGGGTCACCCCCTGCATCTTAGCCATTGCTTACATCAGTATAGGAATAGACGGCTTTCACGGACACCATTGCTGCTCTGTTCAACTCTCAGCTTTCAACCCCCGCTCTCATGTAAGGGATCCCTGTTCTTCCCCCTTGTAGAGAATCCAGAGAGGTCTAGGGTTCATGGATCCTGTTGGAATCCTTCTCATTTCCTAGGGGACAACTTGATCTCTAGCTGTTTGGGGAGCTGGTGAATGTGGTCTATCTTGTCAAGAGAGTTGCTTTAGTTTCCTTCCTGTTGCTGTGATGAAACATCAGAAGCAACTTGGGGAGGAAGGTGTTTATTTGGCTCACTCTGCCAGGTCACAACTCATCACTCTGGGAAGCCAAGACAGGAACCCAGAAGCAGGAACCACGGAGGAATATGGCTTGCTGGTCATGCAGGCTCATACTCAACTAGCTTCTTTATATAGCTCAGGACTTCTTGCCCAAGGAATAGTATCCCACAGGCGTGCTCGTAGATCAGTTGGTAATGACAATGCTCCCTGAAGACTTTTTGGTGATTCTAGTCTGACAGGTTGACAGCTAGCTACGACAGCCCTCTCTCCTCAAATCAACACGCGTTTGCATTGCTTTAAGTCATCATCTTTTATAACGTCCCAGAGATCTTATGCTCATAGTAGAATATAAAACACAGTCAAACTTAAAAGTCCGTTGGTCTTTAAACATTTCAATGCTCAAAAAGTTCAAGGTCTCTGGGGCTGAGAGATGGCTGAATGTTTAAGAGCACTTGTTACTTTTGCAGAGGAGCCAGGACCAGTACCCTGCATCCACAAGGTGACTCTACCATCTGTAACTTCAGTTCTAGGGGACCCAGTGCCCTCTTCTGACCTCAGTGGGCACCAGGCATGCACTTGATATATATACATACATGTAGGCAAAGCACTTATAAAAAATCTTAAAAAGTCTGAAGTCTCTTAACTGTAGACATCTGTAAAATAAAAACCAAGTTAAATACTTTTTATTCCCGAAGAACCATGGCATATGAACGCTCAAACTTAAGCAGAACCAAGGTCAGGATTTTCCAGTTCAATGTGTGACATCTATCAAGAGATCGCTTGTGACCTTTTGGCACAAAAGGCTTTGGGCAGCCACCCCTCCCCAGCTCTGCCATCTTCAGAACACACCGTTTGTTTAGTCCGCTACACTCCACAGTTGCTGCTGTCCTTGGAGGACCTCAGATGGTACTGGCATCTCCAGTATCCTGGGGTCTCCACTGCAACGGAGGCATCTTCAGCAGCGGCCTCCCTGGGCATCTCTTCAGGGACTCTGCCCCTGCCCCGTGGTACAGACCTCAGCAGTTTTCCATCACTTCCCTCATCTTGCGTCTGTCGTGCCATTGAGACGGTGCCCTGCGGGTGACTGTCCCACGCTGTCCAATTCAGCCTCCAGCTTGAGATGGAGCCCTGGCCTTCCTTCTTAGACGTTAACTTCTAATTGTTGATATGCTCAGTGGCCCCAAGGGACAACACCTCAGTGGTGCTGATCTTTTATTCATCACAGCTGATTTTCCATCATTGGCCCGACACAGATTTGTCAACTCAGAATTTCACACGGATGGTGCCTACACAGTATTTGAAACCTCACAAGCCGGCCTTCTGTTACTGTCTGTGTTACCCTCAGCATTATTTCCCAAGCACCCACAGCAACAGCAGGTGTCCTGGAACACGCTCTGTGGACCAGGCTGGCCTCGAACTCAGAGATCCGCCTGCCTCTGCCTCCCGAGTGCTGGGATTAAAGGCGTGCGTCACCAACGCCCAGCTACTCATTGGATTTTGTAGCCCAAAGTTCCAAAACCTTCCAGGATCCTCCAACAAAATAGTCCAAAGGCATACATAGGAAGCCACATGGTCAGGTCCATCATGCATGCCACTTAAGTCCTGACATCAGTTTCTGTTCTGGTGTCCTTTCTACTTAATGTGATAAAACAACTTTCCAAAAGCAATTTAGAGAGGGAAAGGGTTCATTTGACTCCCACCTCCAGGCCACAGTCCATCACTTGGGAAGTCGAGGCTGGAACCGTGGAGGAAGACTGTTGTTTTGTTGGCTCATTCAGGCTTACACACAGCTAACTTCCTCACACAGCCCAGAGAACAGAACCACCCGAGGTTGCCTGGGCCCCGCCTATGTCAATAGTCAAGAAAATCCCTCACAGACACGCCCACAGGCCACCTTGATAAAGACAATTACCAAGTTCAGACTCTTCAGGTGGTTCCAGCCTGTGTCAAGTTGACAGCTAATGCCAGCTAGGACAAGAGTCTTTGTAGGTGTGATTACTAAAGAGGCTGTCACACTGGAGCAGGGTGACCCCTAGTCCAGCAGGCCCAATGTCGTCCTCACACCTTATTTTTTACCTGTGGCTCCAGACCTGTGTAGCAACAAGCATCTGCTGGTCTCATTTCTGTTGCAGAAATGAGTATGCCTTTGAAGGACATCACGTCTGACAGAGTTCTTTCTGGCTGGTTAGGGGCACCTAAAAGCCATCTAGAGGGAGGCAAAGTAGGGGGGGCTTGAAGCAAGTCTTATCCCTTGCTTTGGGTGTGTCCAGCAGGACTCCTTCTTTCCCTTGAGGGAATAGGAAATGGAATAGAGAAGGTTGTAATAATCAAAGCATTAATGATGGGACTCACATGTGCTGAGAACTTTGCCCGCACACGACCCTACAAGGTGGGGGGTATGGTGCAGGAGCTAGAGGGTCTGCTCTTCCTGACTGTGAGACTTGATGGCATTGACCCCCACGTAGGGACACGTTGGGCTGGGGACTATGTCCCCTCAGCTGTAGCATCCTGAGCCAATGGGCGAATGGGCTGGTGGGTTGACAGTGAGCTACACGGACCACACAGGGTCGGTGTCCACGCTGGGTGAGATCCTCCTGACTGCCTCGGGTCCGGATACTAAGCCAGGGGCTTATCTCAGTTTATGTGCAGGTGTTCTCTGTCCTGATCGTGCTCATCGCCGGGGTCTTCATCGTCGCCATCACTTACAGGTGGGTCCTCTTTGTTCTTCCATGGGGGGGTCTGGGGTGGGCAGACACGTGATTCCTGTTGCCGCTCCCGCAGCCTGCCCCTCACACCCACCTGCTGCCGCTCTGGGTATGTCTCCTCCTAGTGATGCAAGTGACTCCCCAGCATTCGGTGGGTGTTTGAGACCCCAAGAGCAGCACTGAGCTCACTGGCTCTGTTGGCCTCTGCAGCCACAGGTCCTGGGACCCATCTTCTGCTGGAGCACTCAAAGACAGCACCTGGGAGGTCCCATGGCTCAAGCTAAGGGCTAACTCGTCTCTCCATTGTCCTTAAGCCCTGTTGTTGTGACATCGCTAACCTAAAGGAGGGAGGGTTCGTTTTGGCTTGCAGCTTGAGGGATAGTGCTGCCAACAGTTAAGGTGTTTTTTTTTTTTTTTTTTTTTTTTTACCACTGCCGATAAACCTAATCTTGAAGTTCTATCAGACGTGCCCCGTGGCTTTATCCTTTTTTGTGATGATAGATCCTGTCAAGTTGATCATATTAACCACCACAAGCTCTAAACCCTGGGCCCGGTCAGTCTGTGCACTGTATGTGGGATGTCAGCATTTGGGTGTGTCAGAGGGACACCCTTTACGTCATCATCCCCGAGTCTTCGAGGGCTTGGACCACACAGCTGGTCTCTGTCTGTGGGCCAGGGCTGGTGTTCAGTTCAGCGTCCACCCCTGGTTTGCCTGATGCTCTGGAGGCTCTGTCTGTGATCGGCACAGAGCCAAGGAGAGGATTTACATACCTCACCTAGCAACTGTTGCAGCCTTTCAGGTGGCTAACACAGCTGGTCTATAGCACAAGGTGTACTTTCTTCCTGGGTTTTGCCTCAGAGAGACTGAGCTGAGACGGTGGAGCAGAGCATGTGGGCCTCGTTGCTGAGCCTGTGTGCAGGGTGGGAGGAGGAGCTTCTACCTCTAGCCCTTGCCCATGACCCAGGCTTGCTTTCCCAGGGTCATACAGGAGAGCACAAGGGAAACAGAGATCTCCATGGAGCCCACATCATCATACAAGACCACTGAGGAGCCTGAGCTGTATTCTTTTCAAGAACCAGAGTCATTCAAGCTCACCCCGCCAAGTGTCTCCTACAAGAAGGAAACTGACGAGAGCCAAGTAGAAGGTAGGATCCTGTGGGCTGAGTCTGTCCTTGGGGGTGTTCACCCTTTGCATCTGCTCAGTGTCTTTGATGACCTCAACAATAATGGCAAACACTGTCTTAGGCAGGGCGGGATTTCAGGGTAGTCAACTGTGGAGGACCAGGGTTTCTCTTCCCTCCCCCAGCATGGTTGGCACATCTCAGTGCAGGTCCTTCCTTGGGGCCACTGCAGGGCGAGTGTGGCTGCTGCTGGTGAGACGGTGGCTGAAGAGGGACAGGAAGTAGTTCACTGCCTGGTCCTGTTCACAGGAGAGAGTCACATGCTTGTCAGTGACTCTCAGGAGGCTGTGCAGACCTCTTGTCCCTTTTCCTGGGCCAGGTTAGAGAAAAGGGTGTCTCAAACACTGCATCTTGTTGTGGGACATGGGATGGAAAGGTCTGTCTCGCTGATGTCCAGTCTCATGGACTTTGGCTTCATGGAAATCCCCAGGGAAAGTGGGACCCAGGGCGTCTGCTAGTCTATGTACCTGAGACCACCTGCAGGATATCTTTCCCTTGCTGCCTTCTGTGTTGAGACGGTCTATGAAGACCTTCTACTAAGGCTTCGGTCCCCATGATGTCTTGGGAAACAAGGGTAGAACAGGCCACTCATCACTGGCTTCTGGGAAAATGCCTGCTATTTGTTTACTCCAAGCCCTTGATAAAAATCTCCAAAGGGTGCTGAATGTCCCATCGGAGAAACACTCAGATTTCCTTCCTGTCATTTAGCCGAAGTGACATTCTCAGAACATGGAGAAACAGAAGAGTAATGAGCACAGGGAGGCAGAGCTGTGAAAACATCGGTGGTGTGTCCCAGTGAATGCGTGTGATGCAGTGACCACCAAGAAGAAAAAATAATAAAGATATTTTGAGTGCTGCATTTTGCTCTTGGCTGCCCCATTCCTGGCCGTGCTACATCTTCGGAGAAGGAGCGTGCCTTTGGGTGCAGGTAGGAGCCAGAGTTTGGTTTCAACAGCTCTGCCTGTCACTAACACTGAGATCACTAGACAGGGTCTCTGTGCTAGCACAGGGGGGCCACATAGTCCCCTTTGCAGAAGACAGGGTGGGGTTGCCACACAGATCCAGGGAGTCCATGACATCCCAGTGAAGCTTTCTAAGGATCGGAGGGCTCTTCGGGGAGGAGACAACAATCTTGTCACCGGTGCTCCAGCCATCTCTAGCCAATCACTCAAAGGCACCCAGTCTTCTCTGATGCCTACATGCGGTGAGAGCTTCCACAGGCTTCACAGCCAGGGTCCAGAATGGGGGCTCAGCGCCCACTGAATGCTTTTAAGGGGTGGCTTGCTGGGAGGCCATCATCTTGGGCACTGGGTTCTTCCCCTTGGAACTGAGCAGCATCTATGAAGCTATGGTCTTGGGCTCTGAACAGATGCCCACAGGGCAGACTGACCAGACTCAGGGTTCCTAGAGGGTCAGTTTGAGAAGTCAGAATGAAAACCCCTGGAGGCCCTCTGGTGTCTCTTGGCTGTGGGTGTAGAGACTGCCCCAATTCCATAGAGGCTTCTGAGGGAGCTGAGGCAGAGGGTTTCTGGTACCCGATTGCTCTTGTCTCTTGGGTGTTTAGCACGCCTTTAGAAAGGGACACATATTCTAGGCCTTGCCTATAGCCGGGTCCCTGTCATCCCAGACTCTGTTTTATCACAAGGATGAACACGAATAGGCGCACCTTGATGTGTCAAGGTCCAGTGACTGTCACGAGTGCAGGTGGCAGCTTGGGCTGGGCTGGAAGCCGCAGGCCTTGTCTAGATGTCAGTATGCATTTGTGATGTGGGCAGCTGAGGTCTCCTTTGGTCAGGGACCAGTATGGCCATAGGGTAACACCCTCCTTGGCAGAATGGATGTCGGAAGAAGATTCCAACTCGTCCTGTATTGTTTCCACAGGAGAGTACTCGAAACCTCAAGCTGTGGCTTACAGTGTGCCTACGTGATATTTTAGGGGCTGCCCCGCCACCATGAGGTGCCAAGCACAAGTCCCCTTTGTGGTGACCCCTCTCTGCTAGAGCATCACGCACGCCCAGGTCACCTGTGTGGTTCTCAGTTGGAACCATCAAGGATCCGGCCTGCACAAGTGTGTGGGCGCTGTTCAAAGATGAGCCTGCCTGTCATCTGGGGCCCCGTCCCCTGGGGAGTCTCTGTCACTCCTTGGGGTGAGGAGACATTCGAGTTTTTGCTATTCAGATGGGGTGAAGCAGATGTGGGTGGTGGGTCCATTTGGTCAGCAAAAAGTCAGCAGAATGCAAGGCTGGGTGAGGATTTCTTACCTGCTATCTCTGGGCTGTGGCATTGGACATGGGTTTGACTGAGCCCTAACATCCTGGGTGTCAGACCATTAAGACTTGACTGGAATTCAGTCTTCAGGATTCCAAGTCTTGCCACAGCCGACCTTGGGAAATGTGCCTCCATTACCATGACTACACATGGGTTATAGTTGTCTTCCTGACCTGTGAATGTTGGTCTGGAAGAAGGGGACAGATTCGGCTTTTTCTCATGTTGTCACCTGGGAAAGGGGACCCTGACATCATCAGCCCTTTGGGCAGTGTGGCTTCCATTCTTTGAGGGCAGACCTCAGGCATGGTGGCCGGTGTGACTTGTCTTGTGCTCTGAGGGCGGCTCAGACCTGCCCAAGAGGCTCCAGGGAACTGTGCTGGTGACAACAGCTGCCTCTACTTAGTGTGTGCCAGGATGGCCTCCCCATCCCCGCTCTGTGACCCTGTGCCTGTGACTTGCCGGGAGGTCAGTCAGGGAGGAGTGTGTGGCAGTCACCATTGCCTGTGCATCTTTCTGGGGCACTGGGTACCCGGTAAGGCTGTTGCAGGCCTGTCAGTGGTCTTTCCTACTTCAGCTGCTTCACCTCGCCAGTTCAGGACTGCTGAGGGTACTCATCCAGATGAGTGACCTAGAGTGAGATAAACATAAGACCAAGACTGTCACTAGACGAGACAGGCCTCCACGCTCACCGGTGGACTCTAGTGACACTTTGTGTTTGAGGCTGAGCGGCCTTTGGAATCCACATTCCTTGTCCCTTCTTGGGCGCATACACACTGGTGCCTGGTGGCATTTGCCTCTGGAAAAATGAAGGTTTGTGAGGCACGTTTTGTGCTGAGGGTTCCTTCAGTGATTCCCTCTTGGAGGAAGTCAGGGGCTTGGATCTAGGGACTTTGATGTTCTGGAGGTCACACTGCTGTGAGGGTTCTCCAGAGAGCCTGGACCACCCTAGCCATGCTGAGCGGCCTGAGTGGCATCCCTCTGTTTGTGAAGATTTTGCAGCCAACTGCTCTCCAGCCCTGCAAGGTCAAGTCCCCTGTATGTGTTCCTGTAGTTCACTTTAATGACACCAAATGGCTTTGTGACCTACAGCATTCGGCCACCCTCTGCCGGCTCCCTTTGTGCCATCAAGACCAAGGTTTATACTTCAGTGCTGGTCTGGGGCGGCAGGGCAGTGTGACCTCCAAGGGGCACACTCAGCACAGACCTACGATGGTGAACTCAGTGTAAGTCACATGACTGGGAGGCATAGAACTTCCTGTAAGACAAGGTCAATTTCTAGAGTCATGTGAGGTGAAGGGACAGGGACTTTCTGTCCTTATCTGAAGTTTCTGCCCTTATCTGAAGATACCTGTGGGGGTGTCATGTGTGTGCATGTGCCTGTGCCCATGTATGTGTGTGTGTGTGTGTGTGTGAGAGAGAGAGGGGGTGGGGAGGGAGGGAGGGAGGAGAGAGAGAACAACATTCTTAGGGCCTTCCAACTTTTGTTTGAAACATGGTCTGTCATTGGCTTGGGAATTTGCTGACCACAGAGAGCCCAAGAATTCACATCTCTGCCTTCTGTCTTGCTATTGTGTGTGTAGGTGTGTGTGTGTGTAGATGTGTGTGATATCAGTCTTCAGAGCAGACAGAAAGTGCAGGTTCCTATATGGACAGTCTGAGGAGCACTACTGTGCTGTGACCAGTGATAGTTGCCCTGTGGTTCTGTCCTGGGAAGTCTCTCACACACACACACACACACACACACACACACACACAATACATACATACATACACACACATATACACACACACCATACCACACACATACACATGCACACACATACACATGCATACATACACACACATACATACCACACATACATACATAGACACACATATACCCACACCACACACACACACACACATACACACACACACACACACACACACACACACACACACACATGGTTGGCACATGTCTTTTGTGTTCCCAGAGTGGTGTTCTGTTTTTACTCTGCCTGCAGACCCTTTGTTTTCTTTAATGCACGGTGAGGTCTGCAGGAAGACACTGGCTCCTCTAGTACTTGGGACTCCTTAAATAGCCTGCATCTTTCCTTCTGTGCTTTCTTTTCAGGGTGATCCAATTGTGAACAAAAAAGAGCGTTGCACATTTGCAACTCTTGCGCCAGTTACATTCATGCTGTTTTTTCATATCGATGAAGCTGATAAAAATAGAAAAATCTAAGAGTCTTGTATCAAAGATGAGAGCCCGCCACCCCACAAAACCCTTTTGTTCTGTGCCCTTTCTCCACCGTGTGCTCATTAATGCAGAGGGAGTCCAAGTCTTCCCCTGAGGACTGAAGAACCGTATCTCCCTTTCCAAGCTGGCTTTACCTCCTTCCTTCCTTCCGTATCCTGTCTCTACCGATGGCTGCACACTTCGCCCCTCCTGGGCTGTATTCTGTTTTTACCAGGTTCATGATGAAAGTGGTAAACTCTGTGGGGTACTTGGGACATCTTTCCTACCCCAAACACACCTCAGTTCTCTCCCCATCCCCACTCCATACCCATCCCCCATGCCCAGCCCACCTCATTCTTAACCCCCGCCCCCGCCATGCCCACCACTTAGATACCACACCACAGGACTCCTCCTCTCAGCTGGATCCCCAGGGAAGTCATCCCTCTTCATCCTTAGGGACATTTGCTAATGAGCTTGGTAGTTCCTTATTTGACCTGTTTGCAACATGGTTTACAGGGAACTCAGACCCCTGGAAATAAGCCGACCCATGTAACGACATTGACCTAGGAATTTTTCAGATGCTGTTGTCTATTGCGTGGGAATCAAGATTCACTGGACTCAGTACAGGTTAAGTGACGTTTATTCAGGGAGAATGAACTTACACAGGAAACAGAGGCCAGCCGCGGGTTCCTGCTCCAAGGATGCCAACCCTGCTACCCCGATGTTCTCTTTGACTGAGCAGTAAACGAGAGAGAGAGAGAGAGAGAGAGAGAGAGAGAGAGAGAGAGAGAGAGAGAGAGAGAGAGAGAGAGAGAGAGAGAGAACGCGCACAGGTCCCGACCCCAGACCTAATCCTACTCTTGGTCACATCCACCCCATTTGGGTGTGGTCAGCGCTACAGGTGTGGGGTGGTGGTGGATATCTCACAACAATTCCCCTTTCTAAAGAAAAAGATTTAGGCTTGATACGAAACTATACACAAAGATAGCAAATACCAAGTGTGCTCTAGGAGAAGGGAATGTAAGCACAAACACACTTAAGACCCATCGCCAATGAAGCATCACAGAGCAAAAGGCGAGAACCGCAGTTAGCCTTGCACCACAAGGTCATGGAAAAACATTAGTTTGTCACCCAAATCAGCATGTAGTTAGCCTTTTCATTGCAGTAACCAAAACTCCGGGCCAAAGCAGGTTAGGGTGGCGAGGTTCACTTATCTCGGCACCCATTTTAAGCCGTTCAGTCCATCACGGCAGCAGAGGTACGGTGGCCAAGTTGGCAGCAGTTGGTAGCTGAAGGTTAGGCTTCAGGAGCAGCTTGGCGAGCAGAGAGCTCAAGCCAGAAGTGAGGCTGGACGGTAACTCTCAAAGGT